TAGTGCTGACTGAACCTTCGGTCTGAATAAAAAACAGGGAATTTGTTGGACAACTGAGCGACTATCGGGTCTCAAGAAGGTCTCTACTCCATGGAGTTATCCCGTAAATAAAGAGTAATTTAAGCAAACAACTGTGCCTAAATATTACCCACTAAGGCATAAAGTTGATTCTAAAGTTGGCCTACTATTCATGTTAGCAGAATGAGATGAAGATTGGGATATTATTTTGCTTCAAAACGTTCGTGTGTATATGGAAAGGGCGACTTGGTTTTGGAGCGCGCCCTAAAAGCCCTAATGTTTAGAGCTCTAAGATGTGATATTAAGATGGGCTTCTTGTCTCCCCCCCCCCCAAAGAAAAAAAATTCGTGTACCACTCATAAGAGGAATATTTTCCTGTTCTGGATTATACTTCTTTCATCCAACCATATTTATCAACTTCTTGAATATTTGTCTTCTTTCTTCATCTGTCTTTGTCTCTCTTATCCCATGTGACGGACATGTATGAAACGACGTCTCATTCCTTCCCCTTACGCAATGTAGGAAACCAGTTAACCCTCTTTAACAATTGTTTACGGAGACGAAATTTCAGCACACGCAGGCGAAATCGTTGGGGTTGTGTATGAGGTTCAGTCTTGTGGTAGAGGTTGATAGGCAGTGCTGACAACAACAGCGCCAGTGTTTTACTTCAGGAGCGGAGCGTTCATGTTAACCATCTTTACACAGCTAACAGTTTGAAAAAAAATGTCGTACTCTTCTGGTCCATTGATACACAATACACTGCAATACAGCAGAACCTGTCGGATAAAATGCGTTGTTAGCCAGCTTATTGAGGCTTACACTCGACGTATGTTTGCGCAAACGCAATTCGAACAGACACGATTTACGGCCTTGAAGAACTACCCACCAAGATCTGACGTTAGCCAGTCTTCGTATGTTAACAGTTCCTTGCTTGGCGACGTTTGACGTATAGCGCTGCATCTCGTCTTTTGAGACATCACTTAATATGCTATGCAGATAAGGATTCTGAATTGGTAACTCAATAAATATTGAGCATTCCTCGTACGGATCACTCTGTTTCAGAGCGAAAATACTAAAGTACGATTCTCAGCTCTCGAAGAGCATAAGTTATCAAAACTCTTGCCCGATAGGAAAATTAAGAACGGTAAATCACAAGTTTCTACTCCCTTATCCCACCCTTTCTCTATAGAATTAAAAAATGGTGCATGGTGGTCTGAGGAGGTGTAACTTACTCTCGTTTATAAGGGTATCCACAAGGTACACCCCATTCGTCATTTTCACCACCGTAAACTGATTAAAATAAAATTACTTTCACAGTGAAACTTCCCCGTTTTACCCTCTGCAACCATTCATTTAGCCCCGTACTTCTCTTTTCCCATGTTAAAAGTGTGAGTCATAACACCCCCAAGGTTGTACATTATTTGTGGCTATTAAAATGTATTAGCCGCGTTCTTGAAACACTATCTACCGGAAAGTAATCGCTGGTACTGGAGCTTTTAAAACCGAATACTGTACAGCTACAGCACGGATATAAAATGGAGAAAATCACTTTGGTTTTTTTTTGGGAGGGGGGGACCCAGTCCGATCAAACGCTGTGTAATTGGCGGCGCTGGATTTTAATACACATTTGTACAGATCTGTAAATAATTTGAGAGAACTATTATCATTTTGAAGTTGGATGTCTGGGTTTTTGCGCCGTGTACTCTGGTACAAGTTTATAAATGCAAACAACGGCTAAAATTAGGGTTTTCTATAATCCTATCTTTGGGTTTATAAATAGTAGACTAACTTTTAGCAAACATTTTTCAGTGTAAAGCACTATAATTTCTTTGTGAATTGTAATTTTTGAATTAAAATTCGTATTGAATATTTTCAGTTTAAAATTGCAACTACGTTTTCGACTTCATTGTCAGAGTTCAAACGTGATCAGAATAAATTATGTAAGATTAGGTTGACAGCGATTCTTGATTATAGTTTTAGTGTTTATCAAGACTCCAACTACATCTTTCCACCGGTAAATACAACCCGGTGAAGTCAACAACGGAAAATATATATAAAAATTAACAAACATTTCTATGTTTCGAACACTTAAAGAAAACCACCTGAAGATGACAAATTAGAGTCAAAACACGTAGTGAAATTTTAATAAACATTGAAACTATAGTGAAAAATAGTTTTGTAAACGGACTGTCAACCTAACGTTAAACACACAACAGGGTGCATCCCTTAAAGCTTGAATTATGTTAGAATGTACAAAATCAGTTATTTTCTAGCAGAATGTTACATTTCTCAGCATTTTGACTAGATATTATGTTCTTTGCGGTATAGTTTCCCCTCCATATAGTGAAATGTAAAGGAAGGTTTGAAAATAAGCTCTAATTATAAAAAGGGATATATTTGTTTTTGGTTCTGTTGCGAAGGGAGGAATAGAATGTGCGTCGTGATTTGCGATGCCTAATTATCCAAGCCATTAGCAATTTTGGTGGTAATGAAATTTAAGTGTTTCCAGTTGTAAATTAGGCATAGTTTGTTCCGTTGTGCCGCTCCGTTACTTTGCTCTGCGTAGGTTTACACTGGACAGACAAAACTGAACCCCCCACAGACGATAAATAAGTTTGGTTTGCTTCAGATTGTGGATTAGTGAAGTGTGATTTTGTTTTGTGCGAAATATTAATTAAACATTGTAAAAATACGCTTATTAGCTTCGACATACATGTTTGTCTGTCTTTCTGTCCGCCTGTAACAACTCGAGGACCGATGAACAGACTTTCCTCATATTTTGTCGACACTTTCCAGTTTCTGTTACCACCGGACATCAATAACGGGACCATTACATGAAGACCTATACGATTTGCGTATGTGCATTTCTTAAATTCTCATATACATAATGAAAATTAATGATGTAACTTCTGTTTTCTTTAGTTTGTTCTGTAGGAAGTGTTAATATTAGGACCAAGAACGGTCTGTTCTTCGCTGCCAGAGGTTTGTCATAGTTCGAATGTTCAAAATTTGGTGTTTAAATATACGTAACCCTATAGGCAACCATTATATTACCCATAATCCTCCGAATGATCTGTTTCTTGTTTTTGTGTAATGCAGATATCGAGATTGATTTCGATGTTAGTTTGTGTACTGTTTTTATGGATTTCGCTATTTGTACCCGCCGGTACAAAAACGTCTTCGCAACACTGGTTTTAGATGTGTGCGGTATTTATATTTAGTATAACTTTTAATGATTTTGCAGCGAGCCGTGTTTGAGAATATTTATATTCTGATTTCAGTTTGGGCCGATGACATATAGAAAATATGTTGGTTCCACAGTTTTTAGCGGAGGTTTCCATTTTCAAATTTAATCAAAATGTGTTCGGCGTATTTAAAAATGAAACGGACACAAACACAGACGAGCGATCTCAGTCTCGTCATTATAAGTTTTTTTACATCTTGTGCGAAGAATTTACAGAAAAGAAGGAGTTTTGTTGTATTTTCATCATGCAGAACAGCCTTTGTGGAATTCGTAATGTTTTGACACGCACTTCAAAGAAAGAGGCCTTTGAGTTTTCCGAGGCACACAGCTTTCTCTCCAGCCTGGACGTTGTGGTTTATCTGCCGTCACACCCGTCCGGGTGAAAAGTTAGCGGAAATGCACCCCGTCTGTTGAGCGTAACGCTACTGAGAACCAGACAGTGTTCGCACTTTCCTTGTTTCATAAATAGGGCTTGCACGGTGGAATTTCATGTATGTGTTCAGGGGTCCGTGAGTTATCTGGCCATGCAGAAGGCTGGTCATTATGTCCCCAGCTGCTGGCTCCCTCTTCAGACCGCTCTCTGCACTTTCAACACTTTCTATGTTATAATAAGCCACGCACGTCCGCCGCGTTGTTCCGTAATGCTGGGGCCATATTATATGCTACTAGATGAACGTATTGGCTACGTAGAGAAAGAATGATGTAAGTACCACTGCATCTGAATAACGAAATAATTAAGTGATTATTAATTAAAATTTATATAACATATTAAAACGAATGTGTGGGAAGTCATATTTAATTAATGTGTAAATATTTCGAGTTACTCTAGCTTTATGAAACTCATATCTTGACAGCGTTATATCAGTTGGTAAGAGTGAAGTTGTTGTTAATGTGATAAATTAAGAATTGAATTGAAATAAATTGAATAAATAGGCGAGGATGAGATTTGGGGAAATTACGTCTCGCGTGTGAGACATGAGAAATGCGTACAGTATTTTACTCGGAAACCCCAAAGAAATAAAATCACTTCGAATACATACGAGTTGATGAGATTGATCTTAACCCTTTGAAGCACGAAGTTATCTAATAAATTTAGTTCCTGCCTTAGAGAAAACACAACGCATATCCATCATCAAGGCAAAATAGTTAATGCTGTTCAGATAAATAATCATTCTGTATTGTGTAAATAATACCAAACCCATTAACACACACTGTGGTTCATACAGAGTTATTGAATGCTAAATTATGTGGTACATATATGAAACTCTACGCTGTAATGGGTTGGCATGTGAGAAAATGCACTTGTTTCAGTTGACTCAAGATAAGGTCAGTGGGCGGTTGGTTTGGTTTCACGAGAATAATATTTATGACCCCTTAGAACGTCGATGATAATGTTCGCAGTTGCCGGTCTAAATTTAAAATTTGGATATTATTAAGCGGCATGCCAAAATGTACCACGTTGCACGTACGTGCGCAACGCATACAGCGAATCTACTGGGATAGCGTCTTGTGTGCAGACCGCATCTTAACTTCGTGTGAATAAGCAGTCGTAGATATCTGAAATAAAGAGACTGGTTTTGTTTACAGGAAGAACAGCTTTGCCACGTTGAGATGAGAGTGTAATCACAGGTTTGATTTGGTTTTGTTTGTTTCTACTAATACATATATTTATTTTTCCAGTCTATACACAAAACTTGTTTTAAAATAATGTTGTTTAAATTTTTTTATAACATTACAGAGTTGCAGTTTATCGTCTGTGGATATCAGACGTCCGATACATCAAAATACAACCTGATAATGAACATCAAAATGCATACTCCAAATCAAGATGAAGACTGAAAATTAAAAATCAAAAAAAATCAATAAACGCAATGCACAAAAATGTACAATAGTTTTTAAAATGTATGAATTGATAAGCCTGAAGATGATGTGGTAAACATCGAAACATGTCGTCAAAATCAAAAGCGCTGTGATAGATGTAATATTATACGACACAGAAAAGCGCCATAAAATATAACAATGCAAATTATATTGTAAATGTTATAAAAAAATTTAAACAACATTATTTTAAAACAAGTTTTGTGTATAGACTGGAAAAATAAATATATGTATTGATATAACACAAACATGACGCAATTAAGATATAAATTGTTTCTACTGTTATGAAGTGGAGGAATACGTTATCCTTATACAAGTTATGACCGACTATAAATTTCCCCGTTTCGTATATGACATCGACGTTTTCGCACGGGATATTATGTAACTGTTTGCCACCCTTTTCTGTCCTAAGTGGATGGATAAGAGAGAAAGTTAGCTCATATATTTTTAAAAGACGATTCGTTTTCTTAAGAGTTTTCTTTTTTCTTCGTGCCCCTCCCCTTTCTTCCCGTTCGTTTTTTTATGTCCCCGTTCGATGTGAAGTCTATTTCCGTTTCCTGCGACCACGCCTCTCAATATTTCACTTCTCTCAGCCGTCATCTTCCTTCTCATCATGCGATGACTTAAATGTTCGAACTATCGAAAGGTTTCTTTTTTCCTGCTTCTCTTTTGAAAATGAAGACAGTTTTCAAAGAGATTTCTCAACTTTACTTTTGCACGGTGGATAGATGAGTTCATGGTCATTCCTTTTCCCTGTTCGTCAACTTCTTGCCAGAGCCACCTTACCAACTTCACAGAACACTCCAGTTTGCGCTGTGGCTTATAGGTGACTCTTTCGAAGATAAGATTTTGCTTTTTATGTGTCCTGTTTAATTATAAGCCGGGTTAGCTCAGCCAGTAAGTGTCTAACTACGCACTAGATGACCAGGGTTCGGTCCCTGGTACGGTCAGAGGGTACAGGGATCTGCCGGCCCTTCTATCTAGGGGGTACCGAAATCTATTTCTGGGGGGTGACGCTGACAGCTCATTTCTCCCCCATATAGCGCCTTCATGGCGTGTGGTTGTACAGTTTTACATTGATATAATTCGATTTACTTCCTAAAACACTGAGGATCAAGATGTAGGATGTCAGGCATCAAATTTTTATCTCTACTATACTTTGTGTAGTTATGGAAAGGAATTTGTGCCTTTCGATGGAATAGAATATCACAAGTGACTGAAATGAAGTAATTATAAAACGTATTTAGACTTGAGTGGGATGAGATGAAGTGTAATATTATAAAATATGCCAAGGTCACGTTTCGAGTAGTAAGCACGCCCAGTTGGATGAATAAATTAAGCTTTTGTTACTGTTCTGCTTGTACGTGGTAGGTGCAGGCCACAAGTGTGTTCCGTTTAAAGACGAAACTTCACTATCTTACCGTCTTCTCCGGTAACCCATTTCTCTCTGTCCTGTAGGATTACGGGGAGTCATAAATCTAGACATTCAGTCGAACTCCATTCCACATTATATATGCAGTTCTTCTTTCGGTTTGCAGTTACTTATGATGTAATAAAATTAGTCTTCATACAATTTACGCATATTTTAGAGAAATATATGCATGTGTTTTGTAATATTCAGCCACCAGTCGTTCCATTTCACTTACACGACTCAGCCTGTGGCGGGACTTTGGAATTTCACAGTTTTATTTGTGGATATGTTCAGTCTCAGTAACATTCCTGGTCAGCGTGTGCAGCTTTTACTAACGCCTGATTTGTGTGTAAGTTGAAATGATACGAAGTTTGGTTCAGTTTTGATCGAAAGTCTCTTCACATACTGCCCATGTTTCATTTTATCTGTCGTCCATTTGTTGCAGTGTTCGGCTGTAGTGTCAACAAGATGGAGGTCGTTATAGTGTTGCGTGTGAAATGTCTTATTGATGCACTACACTGCTACGATCGAACATTGCTACAAATGGGTGGAAATTAACAGAAAAGGTCTTTGTTCTCAAATGTGGGCTGAAATTTCAGATTCTGGACTTAATTAAAATTTCACATACCAGTTGGAACAATTCAATGTTTGGTTTCAAATGTATCATACTGATGATAAGACATTTCTGGGCTCGCTGCAGTTCCATTGTTAAGAGGATGTGAAATATCGGTTAGTAGTCTGTATTATTTTGTGCTTTATGTAACCATATTTTTAAGCATTTTCATTTAAAAATCCAATGCGTACGGATTTTCTCTATTTTACTCCGCCGTTGAGATAAAAATCCAATGTTTTATTTATTCTATAATCACCTTTCATTGTATTTTTGGTCTGATATTACACGCGTGCTTTTTTCCCTTGGAATTAGTGAATAGAATTGTGGGGAAAGATAAAGCATGGAACCGAAGCTTTGTTATTCAGTACAATATCTCTGTGACGGGTTTACATGGCGATACCATAGGACCAGTTATTTCAGAGACTACACAGGCACGTACTAAGCCTATTATTTGAATCTACGGAATCGATTATTTTCCTTTCCAATTTTTTAAAAAGGAGTAAGAATATTCCCATATGTTTCATTAAACTAGTGGAGTATGTCAGTAACTTCCTGATATAAATGCAGTTTGTCTGCATCCGATAACAGCTCATTATGTTATGTAGCAGGTAACACGTTCTGTGCCTAATCGCGTATAATTGTCTCGTGGATTCGCTTCGACAATTGGAACCATGACAATTAATAGTTATGATGTAATCCGCAGTAATTGAAATCTGATAATCTCTCTCTTTCTCTCTCTCTCAGATCATCAGCTATTATGTACGTCATACAATTGGTTATCGGTGCTGATCTGTAAATCTAGATCATCAGCTATTATGTACGTCATACAAATGGTTATCGGTGCTGATCAGTAAATCTACCAGTTATCACTTATTAATCTATACTTCCAGTTTGTGTGTTATCTTTAAAAATATACTAGTGAGAATATTAATTCATATTCTCATACTCTTTAATTTCATTTTCATTTTTTATGTGTCAAATTTCTGGTATCAGTTTTAATATGTTATTCTTAGATTAAGGAACGTTATCGTCATTGAGCCTGTCTGAGATTGTTTTATGCATTAAAATGTTGCCAAGCAGCGAAATAGGGGAGTGTATTACATATATCGCTCATGAACTGTGAAAACGTAATGGTCGCCAAGCAAAAAGATGGAGAGAAGGAAACTGAGAAACGGAGAAAACTGAAAGAAAGGATTTTATGTAGCCATTAGCGGTCTTCTTGGAATAAAAAGTCGCATGGACCTTAAAGGCATCAGATGGTGTTTATTCCAGAAAACTTTAACGACGGAACTAAACATGTGATGCTACAGATGTCTGACGTCGAAACTAATATCTGAGGAACAGCGTTACTCTTAGGAGCGCTTTCAGTTTTCCTTCTTTTTAAATGTTTTAATCATAATGCATTCGGCTAGTATAAAATTTAGACTTAATTTTCGCTGCTACTCGGCTGAGAACTAGGCCATTTGACCTGTGGCTTATTAAATTTCTTTTGATTTAAAAGACAACAGTACGTATTTAGATTAGCTGATTATACTAAAAAAGGCTCTTGGTACGTAATTGTCTTGTCGCATTGTAGTCATGTCCTTTTCCAGCGACGTCTCATCACAACGCAAATAACACTAGAAATCCTTTTTATGTTCCGAAAGTATTAAACTGAATTTTCTCACAAAACGGTAACAATTGAGAACATAGTAGGAGTTTTAGAGGAGCTAATTATTAGACCATGAAGAGATTTTCTGTGTTTATCCAGTATAAACGTTTATGTTGTTCGGTCTTACCACGGAATTTAAACGCCGACATTGAACATGATAATAGTTATAGCCGAGTTAGCCTATGTCCTCGTAATCAAACGGAAGATTTTAAAACAACTGGGACATATAACTCACGTGTAGAAGACGTAGCAAATTCACACAAATTTTTTGTCTTAAATATTGAAGGAAAGAGACTATCTAGAAGTATATAGGAAGATAATATTAAAGCGGTCCTAAAGAATTGGAGTATGAGTGAGGGTGTGCACTGGATTCATCAGTTTCAGATTGGAATCCTGAAAACAAATCTTCAGCTTTATAAGATAAGAGAATACATTGACTGGTCGAACATTCTTTCATGGACTTGCGTTCAAACTTTCCTTACCATTGCATGTTAAAGCAAGACCGAAGTGGAGGAGGTCTGTGTATTCACCCCAGCTGTGGATTTCCAGAATAGATTGTTCTACTCCCCGTCTGATCATGCAGACTGGGGATTTCCGTCACCGTGGGAACACACATTTGCGTGATAGCTTTTATCCGCCAATGTGCAGTGCAGCAGCGGAGTCTGGGACCACAGGAAAAGCCCAGAGGAAGACAAAATGTAACGGGCAGCGAACTTGAAATTTTTATCGATAGCGAACAGTAGCATTCTGACCGCCGTTCATCCCGTACGCTCACTGTTTCCTATGTTTGGTGTTGTGGTGGTCCGAGAGAACTGATGTTGAAGTTTTTATACTAGATAAAGGACGTTGAAACAAAGACACTGAAGTATATACTAAGCCACTTTTTTCACGAACAGCTGTTAGCTTCGTCCAAATTAGCACCGTATAAACGATGCAAAGCAATAATACAATGTTATAGCAATATGGCCAGAAAATCTAAAGCCTTTCCTATATACATATGGACCGTAAATTTCAAAGCGTTATATGAAGTTTTGCGGAAACAATTCATATCCAGTACCAAGTATCATTGTGAAATATGTATATGTGTGCTGGGCATATGCTCATGTTATTTTTTGTACTTCGTTAAAGTTTTTGTAATGGAAAGGAATAAGAAAGAACAGTGCTTAACGATGGCGTAATAAATAAAAAGAATGAGTGATAAACAATTCTGGTTTTGGATAATAAACGACTATAAGTAGGAAAATCAATATTTAACAGACAAAGAAATGTGGATAACATCCAGCTGTTGTGTTTTAACA